CTGAAATCTGACCCCTTCCGCCCATCCGTCACCATTGCGTAGAATTATTATGCATCCGCCGATGGGTGTCCTAGCCGACCTGGATCCCTCAAGTGATCCCATCGTGTGACGCGCATCGGAGGGGGAGCAGGAGCCCGCAGATGAGCAGGATGATGAGCACGATGAAGATTAGGATGAGGACATCGGAAGATCAGGAGCAGCAGGAACAAGAGCAAGAGCAGGATAAGTGTGAGGAGCAGGGGGATGCGAAATATGGGGAAGGAAGGAGGTGGCAACGAAGAAGAACCGAATGATCAAGACACATAGCCCGCGCTGGGGAGAGAGCGCCAAACTGAACGACGCCGGCAAAACGTTGATCCTGAAATGCGGACAACGATGTAGCAGGAGCACGCTTCTCGAACGGTGGATAACGTTATGTGGGGACAGTGTCAGATTGAACGCCAGTTCGAACACTCTTGCGTGTAACATGAGTAGGTGAGATAGGTGGGGAAACAATTCAGAGCATCATGGGAGAGAGGGTCGCACTAATCATATTGCGTAATTTTGGAAGGAGAGGTACATCCCGGGGGTCGGAGTCCGAGTTGCCATGTGACCTCACAGCGAGGGGAAGTGATTTGGGAACGAGGGGTGAAGCCGACTTTATTACCTAACAGCGAAGACTGATAGGTTTCTAGTTGACTCAAAAGAGCTCACAGATCACTCCACAGGGGGGTCCGGGCAGGCGTTGGGAGTTGCCGGCCGACTTGAAGGGTAGCTCTTTGGGAGATGTTACAGTATCGGGAGCATAGCTCGCGCGCCGCTGCCTTGGGCTCAAGGCACGCGCGCCCTATTTGCCCGGACACCGCGAGTGTTCGCTATGTGCTGGAAAGATCATTACATCGATCTTATCCTATCTTATCCGCCCACCCCTCATACTGTACCTTCACAGCTACAGCAGAGCGATGGACGCTATTTGCCATCCGATGTCCACGGTCGGCGCCTTGGAATCGGATGCTATATGACAGGCTATATGCCCTATTTGAGTTACCAAGCTCACTTTCGACTTGGTAGCGGAGCTGGCCGCACTCTCGTGTGGTCAGCTCTTGCTCTTCTCAGCCTCACATTCTTCGGCACGATCTTCGTGACCGCCTACTACCCTGCGCCACCACTCCCAGTACATTTACGAGGATCTGTTCAAGAGCAAGAAGCTACACGAGAGGTACGACGTCTAGACGACCAGATTGGTACCATATACGCTTCATCATTGCGTTACTATCAACCGCTCGGCAACGAGCCAATAACGCAATACCTGAAGCTAGGGCGGGGAAACCCGCCAGACAGAGCGCCTCGAAGACTCGACAAGGCGCTACCCCAGCGTGACACCGCTCATCATAACCATTCTTCGTTACACATTCTTGGGCTAATCGTTTTCGCTATCATATGGTTCGCGCTGGGGGCAGCAATCGCACACATGCGTCGGGGAGATAACAGCACCGATGGGCAAACACATGGCCCATACTGGGACCCTCAGGGTAATGTAACTTTTCGTGAGTACATTTACGAGGTCAACGCGTGGCTCAACGTTACAAGCGGACGTATGACGCCACAGGCCCAAGCGGCCGCAATACAACGCGGCCTGGGAGGCCTAGCGAGGACACTCGCCATGAGGGTACCGCCTGACATTATAAACTATGGTGCTGACATTGATGGGGTCCACACGGACCCAGTAACTTACATCATGTTCCTCCTCAGCATGAAGTTCGAACGCCTGGAAGATGAGCGACAGTTCACTTCCGGCACACAACTCATCGACTTCCATGTGCCTCACGGGGAACGAATCGACGTCACTCTTACCCGATTCGAAATGGCCCGACTTGAGGCACAGTCGGTGGGATTCGACCCTCCTAACTTCCAACTGCTAACTACTATCCTATTCCGCGCCTTAGGCGTCGGCAGCCAGAAAGCCATGCAACTCTCGCAGCCACTCAACCACCAAATGCCTCGAACACAACAACAATATGATGAGTTGCTGGAAAGGATGCGTTCGGTAGGTCACCTATCCGAACGATCCCCTGGCAACGTAGGATCCGTGTTTGAAAGAGGAAGGGGATCTGGTAGTGGAAATTTCTACACTACCTTGACTATTGAAGTCCAGCCTGGAAACGGGCCCTCAAACATATGGGCCGATGACCCAGGAGAATCCATTGCTTTATTAGCAGGGGGTCGATCACAACCAAGCTGGGCAACCAGCCCTCCTTCTAGAGAACCACAACCACACCGCTCGTTATGGGGGGAATCAAATCCCCTAACCGACGGTGTATCCACTTATTTAGGAGACGAAGATTTCGATTCCGGCACCGACACAGACACTATATCATCAGATGGTGTTGAAGCTCTAGATTGGTCAGATATCATGAATATGGATAACGACAATCAGCGTGCTGAGCATTTATTCTGGCTGTTACAACAGGCTAAGCGAAGGTGGAGGAGGTTCGCACGAAAACCAGCGCGTCGTGTTAGAAGGAGGATACGCAGAAGTTTTAAAGGAAAGGGTAACGGCAAGCGTGGTCGTCGGAGGTTGAACGGGCGAGGTATCGCGGCATTTCTCCAGAGGCTCTCAGATGAACAACATGATGAGATATTCTTTGGGGGAAAAGGCCGCGGTAAAGGCCGTGGAGAGACCTCAGGGAAAGGCAAAGGTAGGCGGGGGAACCCGCGAGGTAGAGACGGCCAGGTTCTCAAATGTCATGGGTGTGGTAGTACCGATCATCTTGTGCGAGATTGTCCAGCGAAGGGAAATGGAAAGGGCGTGTCGTCCGAAGTCCATTTCGGCTCAAGCACACCATCCATTGAGTATCTGAGCCTCCAGGACTTTGAGGCTATGGAACAGATATTTGTCACATGGGTCGTTGGCATGGACAACGTTGACGAGCTCGAGGGGTATGGTCATGGATTATACGCGTATTACCTCGAGTACGTCCGCCGGTTCGTCACGGGCAGTAATGAACTCACTCCCGTGGAACACGGTACGCTCGGAAACGAGCCTCTTTCCTTCTTCGACTGGATGTTCGGGAACCCAGGCAACATCATGGCCTACGAGAGCGACGGCGAGGACACCACTATAGAGGCTTCGCCTTCCGAGGTTCAACAGAACCTCGAACCTCCGCCCGAAATCCCGCCTGGACACAGGCCTTTTCTGCTGGGAGAATATCCCCATACTATTGAAGACTTAATTGAAATGGAGTCTCAAGCATTTGTTCAGGCCTTCATTGCAGGTGAACCAGGTTCTCCGTTCATACCTCCTGGTTCGCTTGCTCCAGGCGAATATGGGCCGCGTACACTTTTGCAGACCCTCATGTGGATGCATGAGATACTTGCAATTGCATATCCTGAGAGTCAAGAACAAATTGAAGCTGGTATTATGACAGATAATGATAATGATGCTTGCGGTAGCTCAGAGCTACTCTTGGCAGCGTTGTCTCTCATCGACAGTATAAATCCTCAGGAAGTGCAGCGACACTTAGTATACTCCCATGGTAGATGGCGTCGTGCCCTGGAAATGGCAATGGCTATGCGTGGTCATGATCTTCCCCCGCCAGGATGGAATCTCCAGGAGCTGGGGATGAGGCCAAACCACACGGCCATGCGTAACATTGCTAGGCAGCCTATGCTCGTCGAAGACCCTGAGCCGACGACTGCGCCTCCTACTCCAGGGCAGCCGAGTGACGGCCAGACGCCGGCCATGCAGGGAAACCTGCCTTTACCAGATGCGCCAATGGCCATCCTAATTGGTAGTTCGACATCAGAAGAAGTAGAAGGCGATGGTTGTGGGTTAGATGAGGATGACGTCACCATCCTCATGATGGACGTGACTGGTGAGGAAGAGGTCGATTTCGACCCTGATGAGTCTGAACCATCATCACCATCGGCACAAGAGCCACTTGCGCCGAGCTCCACCCAGCAGGGAGACCTGCCTCCATCGAGCGATCCACCCGGGATCGCAGAGGAGCCTCCTCAAGCACCTCCAACGGGTGCCGCCCCTGCTGCATCAGCAGCCTCTTCTGATGAGAACACCAGAAGATCTCGTTCCCATACGCGCGTCAGAGGAGAGCCACATCTTCAGGCTCGACTCCCTCGTGATTGGAGACAGGCTGGCCCAAAGGAACACGCTGCCAGAAGAGGTGGCCAGCTACTTCCATACAACGACCCACGACGCCGAAAAGGGGAACACTCGGCCTTCGGCCAGGGCAATCCTGCCTATAGGGACGGCGATGGCAGACCCATCCGTGGAGGCTATCAGCTCGCAACAAACATCCGCCGCCCTGAAATTCAAGAAGCGCGGACCCAGTTGCGAGATATTATCGCGGCTCGCAAGCAGTATAGGCCTCACGCTGCATGTGGTCCTTGTTCCCAGCCGTTCCAGAATCACAGGCCAGGATGCCCCGTTGGAAACAACGAAGGCCTGAGCCCCAACAGGGGCAAAACCCCTCCTAAGGAGGGCCATCCGCCACTTGACCCGATGACACCGGAAGAGATCGCAGCAGTGAGTAGTCGTCTCGGGATCTTGGGCCACTTGGATCCGAAAGAAGAAGAGAAATCTACTCCGGCTCCAAGGGGAATGGTAGCCATGACCCAGGAAGAGAAAGACGCGCTCTTTAGTCTTCCTGGTATGCGAGGAAACTCGCCTGGCGTATCTAGCCAG